GCCCCCTCTCCTAGGTGCCTACCTCTGAATCCCTGATTTATTCAGTGTGGTGCCCAAAATAATTACATTTTGTATCTCTTCTTTCATATCTTTTAAGGTCAGCAGCTGCCACTTGACATTGGGTGCTTCTGCATAGCTAATAATTAACATGCATTCCAAGTTAATTTTCCATCTCTGTGTTCCTCAACTGCATTGTATTTATTATATAGAGGGCAATAGTATTTGCACAGCCTAGAGGCATAATATTACATTGTCAACATTATATATCATCAATTTAGTTGTATGAACTTGGGAAGATTGGCTTGATCACTGTCACTGGAATACTTTCTTGCCCTCTGATCTGAGTCACCTACCAAGGAGTGTATATCAAATTCTGTACCTGGCCATTATTAGTAAAGTGTCAATTGTTTTTATAAAACCCAAATATATCACACCAGTAGCATTTGTGACATCCAGATTTGAACGTATCTTCTACTAAAAACAAATTATGTTATTAGCCATGAACCATCATGGACCAATGCTAATTGTTAGTTACTTGATTTTTCTCTACTCTTCTTGATTGAATATTTTCTCTCAGCAATAATCACACACTTTAGGCTTACTGATCTGTAATTTCTTGAATGGCTTTTTAACCGCATTTTTCTTTTTACATTTTAGCCAGATTTTTAATATAATGTATCAACTGTAAACAGTGTACAAGGAAGCTCTGAGCCATCAGCTTAAAAGGGCTGAAACAGCAACCCCCTGGGGTGCAGACCAAGTCCAAATACACTGTAGTATAAGCTACATACTCAATGTTATATTTCAGATAAATATATTCAAATAGATGCTCCTGTCTCCTGCTGATATAAAAAAAATTTATTCAAAGCACTGCATTGAATGTGAAAGGTTTGATGACATAGAGCACATCAGCTACAGTTAAAAATGCACTCCAGTCATAAATGAAAATGCACCCTTAAAATGCATACAGCCCACATATTCTGTAATGTGTTTTTATCTAAAAGTACACTGCTGCACTAAAACATTTCTGTAGTGCAGCAGTCTACCCCATTACTTAATGTCAGAAGTATTCCCTGCAGGCTTCTTGCTGTCTCTCACTGATAAAAAGCACAATAAATAAATAAATACCAGAATTCAACTAAATACCAGTATTCAGAGCATTCTCACAATCATCAAGTTCAAATCGGTCACTAGTCAGCTGTTGCAGACATTATTTGTTCTATACAAGGATTACTAATAAGTTTTGATCCAAGGACTAGGTTATTTCACTGTACTGATGAGTCAATCAGACGCTACAATCGACCTATAACTCCTAATTTGCTGAATTCGGCTGAAATCTCTTATCCCCCTATTTTGGAAACAATTAGAATTTCCTCCTTTGAAGGTTTTGTTCCAAAGGTTGGATCAGATAAGTGCCCTAGAAGAATTGACTCATAGCCATGAAAATACCCAAGACCATTTTAGTAGAATCTGGACCTGTTGGTTTGCCTATAAAACACCTGTACCTTACTTGGATGTAATGGCCTCTACCTAAGATATATTGTATGATTTTATAAGAGGAGTTATTTTTTGCCTGGCAGTTTGTTGTTCATTTAACTTATTTGTCGGGGTCAGGCATTGGCTTAATATGCAGATGTCTTGTTTTCGCTCTTTTCTTCTCTTTTTTCATTTTCCTTTTTTTCTATTTTTTCTTTTTGATTTGTTTTGTTTATCCCTGGACCATACTTCATTTCTTATTATAACATTTTCCAATGTATGTGTGCAACATTATATTTTTCGTGACTGTAACTATAACATTGCTATGTTACATTACTGATAGCTGGAAATAGGGACGTGTTTTGTATTGATCGCTGTTAATTCTTTAAACACCTTAATAAAAATTGATTAGGAAAAAAAGTTAAAATCGGTCTTAAAAGTTTGAATGTGATTGGTGATATAGAAATCAGGGAGAGGGGAGGTTACACAGCACAGAGTTTTAGGAAATACACTCCCAGGGACCATGTGAGCTGCTCTCTGGATACTGACTGCAGTGAATTAAAGTGGCCCAGTAGAAACAAAATGTTTTCCAGCAAGCAATAACCGTGATAAAGATAAACAGCACATATTTACCCTTTCTGCTGTCTGTGACATTGAACACTGCTCTAATCCTGTTTGTTCTGAAACCATCACTTTTGGCAATGTTCAACTCTAGGATTCCTCACATCTCTCACCTGTTCTTACTGCCGATCTCCAACTCACTGCTGTATTCTCGAATAGGTGGAGGTCAAAGGAAAGAACTAGTGAGAGCTGCAGGGAATCAATGACACTGACACTCCCAAAAGGGACTTCAGCGCATTTCTTACAATTAAAGCAGCCTTTATTGATGCAAGCAGCAGAAAATGCAATTATGTTCTGTCTTCCTTACAGATATGGCTTGTTTTAAACATTGTGTATAGTGACAGGGTTGCTTTAAGAAGTGCAAAATATGGAATAATTTTTTGCTTCTTACCACCTCTACAGTTTTTGTTTTGACGTATTACTCCATTAAACAAAGTGTTGTTTTTTTTAATTGCCCTTTAAATATTTTACGTTCTAAAACCACTATTGATGTAAAACATGCTGGATATTATTGATGGCTGTTCTACATGTAAAACTTACCAATGGGGGTTTTATTGTGTTAGCTGCCCATTGCACAGTACTAGCCCTAGATTAAGGTCCCAAATAGATATCAACATGTATGCTGAATAAACTGTATGTTTCCTAAACTGTACTGTATACGCATGTGTCCCTGTATAGAAAAATGGGCTCCACATGAATAGTTATACAATACAATATACAATATAGTGAGCGGATCTATATAAGTGTATGTTCTTCTACACTGTACTGTATATGCATGCCCCTGTATAGGGGCAGGGGCTCTTCAGAAATAGTTATACCATGTAGAGAGCTGATTTATATATTGCCACTAAACAAGTATTAAAGATAAATTATAACTGTTTAATGGGTAATACAAAGTTGTGATTAGAAATATGCTGTAAATTATGCTTTAAATCTGTCTTGTCAAAAAGGCAGCATGGAATAGAGATTCTGTCCAAACAGCATGCAAAAAGACTATTCATAAAATGTAGATTATTCTAAGACAATCTAAAAAAGCTTAATGAAGTAATATTTGCAAAGTAGAAAATCAAATGAAGGCTGGACAACACTGTGAATACTAAATAGCCTATTAGTGTCCTCTCCCAGTGTTTACCTTTTGTTCAGCATTTAGAAGTATCAGGAGCTCCACCCAGTGCATTTTATAGGAAGTTTACATATCTGAGAAAATGCAGATCACCGGTCTGTTATCACAGAGTGTTATCTTATCATTTGTCACACAATGTATAATATAAATTGCATTTACAACTGCATGAACACAATCTTAGATTTTTCTGTGGATGATTGTGCAATATAAATATCCTTTATTAATCTGGTTAAGTATGCTTTAATCCAACTCACTGGTGGAACTACCAGGGTCGCAGCGATCGCATGTGCGACCTGGCCCTGACAGTCCTCCAGTTGGGGGACCCTTTTGCCTTAATCTGTTTACATGTGTGAAGATGGCCTTCGACTTTACACTATAAGCGATTGTGGTAGCTGTACTGCTGCCAGATAGCTTCCAGGGCCCAGTGTAGTGTGCCCCCAGCATGACACCCCCGCCTTGCTTCCCGGGCTCTGCTGCCCCTCCTGGGGGCCCGGGATCAGTATCATGGGTGTTGGCAGGAAGTGGGGAAGGAGACACGTGAACATCCATTCGCCGATCTTCTCCTTGCTGAATGTGACCGACTGTCATACACCGGCTGCAAAAGCTTGGGAAGAAGCTCTTGGACTCTGCTTGTAAGCCCCCTAATGTGATAGCAATTACGTTAAGTAAAAAAAAAAACAACGTTTTTTAAAAATTAAAATGAAATCAAATAAATGTAAAAGTTAAAAAAAATTTAAATCCCCAGCCCCTGCGAGCATGCACATATTAAGATATACATGCGTCTGGTACAAAACGACGAATGCACTACACATGTTAGATATTGCTGCACGCCAGAGTGAGAGCAATAATTCTAGGACCAATATTCATGGTTAACACCAAACGTATGACCTCTATGGGCTTCTAAAGCATCACCTATGGACAATTTTGGGTACTGTATTTTGTCGCTGTTTCACAGATACACGCAATTTGTAACCTGGATATGTTGGGTATCTATTGTAACCTCGTGTTTTATGTTTTATTAAAATTGGGTATTATAGTGTATCTTTGGGCACTCAAATTAATTTAAGTGTATTTATTACCCAAATTTTGGGTTTGATAACGAGTTGCACTAATACCATGCGACGTATAAATCTGTAACTGCCACCATTTTATTTTATAGGATCTTTGCTTTCAGAATATATATATAATCAGTTTTGGTGGGTTTAAGTAATTTTCAGGCCTAAAATGTGGATGATAACATGTGTGCAAAAAACGCCTTCTTGACAGCAAAAGGGTTAAAGACGGTGCCCTATATTTAGGTTTCCTAAATGTGTACATACAACCGCTGGGACCCTGGTAGTTCTGCCACTGATGGGAACATGCTTTACAGTAATTGGTAACAACAAGCTTAAATATGCCAGCAACAGCAGCCATTTACAACAATTATTTATTGAACAAAAAGTATTAAAATCTTGGGGGTTTCTTTGTAGAGGGGTGGAGGGGCCTTCATGGTTTCTTGAAACAGGGCCCTGAGGTTTCTAGTGGCCTCTGATGCAACTTTAGTCACAATCTGAACTGCCAGGTAGGATCTTGTTAAAGGTGACATCCCGACAGACAGCTAAATAGAAATAGATATATGAAAGCTCTATTACTAGCCAATGAATTTGCATTTGGTGTTCTAAGGTTTACACACGACCCTGCAAGACAGCAAAGCCAGGTTGGTGATTTGACTTTTCTCTACTGCAGTTTATCAATAAAGACAGGTCACCTACTAGCCTTCAGCCTGTGCTTGGACAGTACAATGTAGGAGCTGCAGCAGGCTGATGAGCACATCCAGTTTCCTCCTGTCTGCTATCTCCTGCTATTCCTTGTGAACACACTTGATTGGCTCAGAGTACTGACCTCCCTCTCCCAGGGTGAGCTCTACTGTACAATGGATTTTGGAAGGTTGATTAAAAGTCAAATTCTGGTACTTACATTAGTTGCATTTAAAAATAAATTGAATTATTTTTTATGAATACATAATTGCATTTATCTGTGTTTTTATAGCCGCTGGGAGTTCAATATTGGTCTTCAGCATTTCTTTCAAACAGCAATGTGACTAGCCAGGTTTTACAATCTGTCAACTCTGGTACGCCAGAGCTGCAAATGTGCTGAAGTTAAACTTGCCCACACTTAAACGTTTACTTGTTTAATATCAAGGAACACTCCTTGATTAGAGCAAAACAGCAGAATATAGAGGTGCCGTGGCACATACTTTTGCATACACTGAATATGCAACTAAAACCACTGGTTTTAAAAAGACTCTCTCGCTTTGCCTACTCAGAACAAAGTGACTGGTTCACTTGTAAGGAAAACTTCTCATGCACTAATGTTCACTTCCTCTGTGCTCCTCTCACTGTTTCATTGGTTCATTGGAGCCAGAAGTCCTACCCTGTGCAAGCTCCACGTTGAATGGTGTAAGAGCCTACACAGTATATCCCAGTGTTTGGTAGATGCTGAAGAGTTAAACCATCTGGCAGTTTTCTATATCTCTTTAGGTACTCTGTTGGTGAAATCCCTGCACTTGGGTCCTAGGTCTGCACACATGCTGTGACCATTCCAATGAGATCCCCATTGTTGGAGATATTGCTTATTTTAAAATTATGTAAAATGCAACAAGAACTGCTGGAACATGCAAAGGTATTAGGCAGATATGAAATTCCCAGGTGGATAGGATAAAAGTGGGAAGTTTTGTCAGGGAGATCTTGCTGTTGGAAAACCCTAGACATATAAGAGGCCAGGGGTTTACTCAGCCTACCATACTGCACCCATAACTAAAATATAACTTTCTAAAGCGTTACCCATTAAGAAATGTTGCAGTTTATATGGATAACAACTTCAAGCTTCTACATGAAATGCCCCTCACTGCTTTGTATATTAATATAAGTGTGTGCATTTTTGCTTAGATTGTTTTGTAGACAACACATGTTAATGGATGTTAACTGATATAAAGACATGGAAACTGACCTAAGTAAAACATTTTTTTTCTATTTCAACATGTGGCTATATATTGGGAAATACTACTTGTGGCTGAATAAAGCCTCAAAATACTGTAGACCTTACTTGTACAAACTGCCCTTGAAATATTTTTGTACAATAAATATGGCCCAAGGACTACAAATCTGATGCATGGCCCTGACTAAATATTTTATGTCTCTGGTTTATGGTCACAACCTCTGAAATTATATTCAAGTAGCCCTTATAATTTTACTCCAAATGCAAAAATTATCAGCATCAATTAATGTAGCTTGCAGTAAAAAAGTAACTACCTATGCACATATCATATATCTATGTCATATATTTCATACTCAAACAAGACCAGTTATGTTTTTATATCATAGAACACTACAATCATACAGATTGTGGTGGAGTGACTGAAATAAACTAAAAAGCTGAGAAATACAAGGCTGCATTCTTACATTTTATTCTATCACAAAGCCAGAAAAATGGAATCCATTCCTTATTTTAGCAGAGTAGTTAGAACAATGCAAACACAGGGGTGGTAAAGTGATAAATTACCACCTGATTCCAAAAAGTTGTGTGATTCACAGTTAAAAGTAGAATTTTAAGTCTAGGCTGTATCTGAACTTTAAGCAGAGTAGGTAGGGACAGTCCTCTGTATGCCATGGTGCTGCATTGATTGCTAAGAATGGTGAAAGGTGGTTGTTCCTAAAGGACATGGTTAGTTTTTACTCACTATTCCACATCTTCATTTATCGTCTTCCTTTGTGGCTTTGGCATTTGGTCACATGACATCTTTCAGCCATAAAGAAAGTTGCTGCTGAAATATTTTGCTTTACCAGAGGCTGTGAACAGGTAGCTACATAATACTCACCATGTGTCACTGACTGCTGGTCCCATGCTAAACAATGTCTGATTAGTGAAGTATCTACATTCAGGGCCACTAGGTAGGGTTAGCTCCAAAGTGGGCAGAAACAAGGTAGCATAATAGCATAGTAGGAAACGTTGAATAAAGACACAGGTCCATCCAGTTCAACCTATGGATGAGTGTGTGTTTGTCTGTGCGTCTGTGTGTGTCTGTGTATATATACTAGGGATGCACAGATACTTTTCGAGTACCAGTGCAGATACTTGGCATTTTCATGAGAACTACCAGAGTTGCAGCGGTTGTAGCTGGGACCTGGCTCTGGCACTCCACCACTGTCCTGAAATCATTAGTCTGTATTGTTTTAGAAAAACTGTCACATGACAATAAACAAAAATGTATCAGTACTCGTACTTGTAAGTACTCGGCAAGTACCAGTACTCGTACTCGCAAAACTGGTATCTGTTCATCCCTTTATTTATATTTATAAAAACAAAATCATACATTAAAACAAAGATGTACAAACCCCAGGAGCTCTGTGTGCTCCTTACAAATGACAGCTGCCTCCTAATTTTTGAATTTTTCTCTTGTGTAGTCTTGGAGCTCAAAAGTATCGGTACATGTACTCGTACTTGTACCGAGTACTGTACTTGGTATCTGTGCAACCCTAATATATACCTGTCTCTAATACCTCCCATATCTATGTATATTCAGTGAATTGAGAAATTCATCTAAGTGTTTCTTGAATATATCAATGCTATTGGCAGATACCACTGACTGTGGAAGGGAATTTCACATATTTCCTGAGCCAGGAAATATTGCAAGGAGCTTTATCACCAAGCTATAACAGAAGCCAGTTGGGTACTAAACCCACCAGACCCCAATCCTAGCTGAAATATCACTTTTGGTCAGGTGGGAGTTGAGCTTAAGCGTAAGATATAAGTAGGGTTAGGGAGGTTCAAACAAAAAAACAAAGGGAGACAGCGCCTCTTCCTTGTGCATTTACATTTATTATAAATAGATACAATGTAATCCAGAGTAAGAAAACTACTCACATGTAAAATGTGAAGTCATACACCGTAAAGATATGCCAGGAAACATCCAAATTGCTCCAAATTGCAGTGCAGGGTCAGGGAGGTGCTTTTGCGTACTTGTATTCTCACTTGTTTTCTTAAGTCCCAAAAGCCAAAACCTATCACAACAAGGGTCCCAGTGCCAAATCTAATGTACTGTGAATTATTAATATCACACACTTTTCCCTACCCCATTGACAGAATCTGAGAAATGTCTTCCCCTTTAGACAAACAAATAAGGTTTTAACGGATTTAAAATGTTGTGAACTATCCCCTTTCTTACATCAGTAAAGAGAACCTGTCCTTCCTCTTTTAGATTTATCTTTAATCTTGCCTCACTGCACTAACTAATCAAATGTGAAATGCACAACTCAAAGTTCAGAGTTCCACGATAACTGAAAACAAGAGGTGTAAATGTTTGAAAAGTAATATATATGACAATCTCAAAGCTCTGTGAGGTAGTGGCAGTTTTTCGTATACAAGAGGAAACACCTAGGGCATTCTTTTCTAATACAAACTCAAATAATAATGATAAAAGGTGTTGTGGTGGTACCTTTTCTTTGGCTTTATCTTTGGTTTCTTCATCCATCCAGTCATTATCATTCTCCAGCATGTCAATGAATGCCCAACGGATAGCTTCAATTACTTCCTCCATCTAGACAACAAGAATCAGCTTAAATGTCACACATATCTACATGATGCACATAATGCTTTTATATCAAAGCATACAGCTTATTCTTATCAAATCAATATAAATTCTAACAATACAATTTTCTAAATTAGCCCTTAAAGGCAACCTATTAGGATTGAACTATGGTAGTCGCCACTGCTGACTTGCTTTTAATGTTCATGCTCTGAATTTGTAATCCTCATCCACACATCCCAACTTGGTAAGGTCACTGACTTACAATAGCTCAAGTATTTGCAAATCAGGTGTCAAGATATGTCACATGCATCTGTTTATTTTAGGTCAGTTACTCACTAAATAGTGATACAAGGATAAGAATGACAACCACTTATCTTATGCCCCCAAAAGTCAGCAAAGGCAGCTCCCATGTAACTGTGCTGTAAAATTAGACCAAGCAAACCCAGTCTCTAGAATACTAGAATATACTTAGATGTCCAAGCTAGGTCATTAGTATTTAGTAACTACTGTGATGGTTATGTGCCTCTGTTCCAAGATCCATGGCTGTAACAGCCCTTCATTAAAGCTCTTTGGAGTACTGAGAGTGCATTCGTGGAAGACAGGTTATGGGTATCCACATGATAATAGATAAGCACCATGGATGAAAATTACCAAACTGTCATTCCCAAATACTGATACTGTACATCTATAGATTGTCACACATTACAATCTGACTATTCAATTATCTGTGATCAATCTATTAGATCTTCATATCTTTAGATACAAAGTTGAACAGTTTAGGTAAGTCCTAAGGTGTTAGTAAATCTAAAGGAAATTGTGCAAAGATTGTACACTGTAACTTATACAATGAGCTTAATGCAGATATTCTTGGCCTTAACACCGAAACCACACCATTTGTATTCCATGGTTAAGAAATATAAAGCTTCATTGATAAAACAAACTTATTTTTTTTAATAACATTAACAGAACTTGCTCTATGATTTTATGTCTATGAATGGCTTGGGCTTAAATGCACTGAACACTGTTGGGAGTCTTTTTTACACAGCCCTTATGTAGTGAAAGTATTTCTCACCTATAATAACCTATAATAAACTATGAAAAAAATCATATGGGCACACTTACATAGACAGTTCTTTCCATTTTTATATGGGAAAAGCAAACAATCAGTCAGAACTGATTTTCAAGCATGCTTGAATATCTTTGTGACAAGGGACTAATCCTTTTGTCACTCTTTAGGGCTACCCTTACGAGCTGCAAGCAAATGGTCATGAGCAACAAACTGTAAAGCATTTTAGAGATGTTATGTTTCATATTAGATAGCGTTAGCATATTGAAGCCTGCTGGCTCTGCTTTAAATATACAGCTTACAAAGAACTGACATCCACATGCAATTGGCTTTAATACAATCAGTACAGCTTTCATTCTCTAATAAAAACTGACTGCTTGTGCAATCTCTGAAAAACCCTGAAAAGAAACCAAAAAAGTTTAGAGAAGAACATCATTTGGATTATACAGCCAAATAAGTGTGAAAACGTGGAATACATTGTAATTTATCTAATAAATCACACTGGATATTATCATGAAATAACCTAGAAATTGAAATAGAGTTTATTGCATAAATATTGTGTTTAACTCTTGCCCTATGTTATAGAGTTTTGTCAGTTTTCTTAGAGTACCTCAAGTACAATTTGTGCCTACATTGTACATATTACGTGTGTACTCTTTTTCCTAACTCGAATGTAAGTTTTCTATTAATGTTAGTAGCTGCTTGTGGATGTTCAGTCATTTTTGGCTTTAAATGGGAACAATCTGGCAGTTTATAATTTCTTTAGCCTTAGCAGTTTGTCCTCATTTGCACTGTCCTAGAAGATCATTCCCGGGCAATGGAACAAGAAACCGTCTTTTTTTTTAAGGATGCTAAACATAAAGTAGAAGTTAATATCTATATGAAATATTTTTATAATTCTTTCAACACTGAGCATATTTAAGATGAAAGTGGTGTTCTCAGGTGCAATATTTTAGGACACAATAAAATTTCTGTTCAATATTTCCTTAAGGCATATCTAACCCATAAACAAAAATGTAATATTTTGCAATTTGCCAGTGCTTAGATTAAAAGCTATAGCTTCTATTATGAAGACTATGGGGTCTTTTCACTAAGCTGCCGAGGGCAGCCGACTGAACAACCGACCCGAAGTGAAGTGAGCCGAACACTGTTCGGCTATTCACTTCAGGCTTGATTTCAGCCGTATATCGAGTGAAAACAGCCGTATATTGGCTTGCTTCACATGGCTTCGGGTCGGCCGAACATGCTCAGCATGTTCGG